TAAGCAACTGGTAGGCCGCCATAGGTCCGTAGGTTGTAGGGGTTCGATCTGTAGGTCTGTCGAACAGAAGTCTTAGCTGTAGTCCTTCTAGAAGGTCGAGCAAGTGGGCAAGTGGTGAACCAACTGCAGTACGTTCGCAGTACGATAGCGGTAGGATAGCAGTGCGTACCAAGGTAGTCAGCGGTGCAGTCCAGTCAGTCCCAGTCCAGTCCAGCAAGTACCATGAGGGACTGTGTGCACCATGGGCCGATGGAAAGGGGCAGACCAACGAGCTTCAGAAGTATAAATCAAGAGGCAGCGCCCAGCCATTCATTCATTCCTGCGTGAGCCATGCGGAAGCGCTGCCACAGCGACTTGTGCAAGGAGGTCTGCAGTGAGCCCGAAGCGGAAGTGGGCGAGAGAGAAGGAGCGTAGCGTAGCGATAGGGTAGTTGCGGCCATAGCCGCCATAGCTAGAGTTAGTGTGTAGCGTGGGTGTGTGTGTGAGTGCAGAGTAACGCGTGTGGGATATCCAGGGTGATCCGGGGTATGCGAACAGAGAGTTGTTTGGGCGCTGAGTTGCCATAGCCATCGCAAGTGAACTTGTATCTGGACTGTGTCTTCAGCGACCATATCTCTGAGTTCTGTGTGGGCGCTTGTTGCCAGTCTGCTGTGCGCCTGTTTGCATGCATGTGAGTGTGAAAGAAAGCGAGTCTGATTGCAGAGACAAGCTACAAGTAAAGAGAGCCTCCTACTCGATCCTAGAAATCTCAGAGTAACACCATTAATTCAAACGTAGGCACGGCCCCCAAGAGCAAATGGACGGGCTAGAGTTGAACGTTTTAGCAAGTAACAAACAAACGCATCAGATAGGAGTGCAAACCCAATGAAAAGCAGCACAAAAGGCCAAATCAACAGTTCTTGCAAGAAAGGTAAACCAGACAGCCTAGAAGCTGAGAGGAACAGACGAGATGGAGCCCGAGTGGCCAGGCTTTAAGTGTAGAGCAAATGGATCTCTAGTCCAGCAGCGAAGGGTACGAGAGAAATAGTACAGGCTAACTTAGGCAGGTGTAAGGAGCGGTACATCCTTCCGGTTGGAAGTAATCAATGCCGGCCTTGGGCCTCCACACCAGAAGGGGGAGGAGCGGGAGTGTGTTCTCAATGTAATACCATCTGACTTGCCGGTGGAATAGGAACCAGACTGATGCTCCCCAGAATGGACAAGGAGCCAGGACCTTAAGGGCCTGTTTGAAAGAAAAAAAAAAAAAAA